CAAAGCCCGCAGCGCAGGCACAGAGAGACCACAGCAGCACAGAGAGATGCTTTGCAGAGGCTCTCCCTGGACAAACTCTGTACACTCCTCGATTCCTCTTCTGAGGTTCTGCTAACCTCAAAGGCTTGATTTTATTTAAATATCAAGGGAAAGGCAGAGAGGCTTTGTAAGCAGAGAGCCCTTGAAGACAGCCCAGTTGTAGGGATGTATGAAGGCTTTCTCTCCTTGCCCACCATGTCCTCAGAGCTGCAGTCCCCAGGACCTGCAGTTTTGGGAGTCCCCTGGTCATCCCCCACCTCCCTCGTGCACAAAGAGCCATGCTCGACATCCCTTTCTGCGGGGTCCTTCTGGGATCACAACATGTAGGACACCGAGGTTTGTCCCAGCCATCTTCCCTGCAATACAGCTGGAAGACGAAACTGGGACATGAGCCATGCAGGGACACTGGTGCTAGCCAGAAGAGCAGCTAGGAAACAGCAGGCATGGAACGTCTGGATCCTGTGATATGTCTCGTACCTCGTGTTCTCTTCTGGAGGGAAGAAGCTCTGAACAAGAAGGGAATGACTTTCTGCTGACTGACTATCCCAACCCATGGTCAGCACTGTGGTTGGTTCAGTGCCTCTTTCGGATAGGGGTTTGTCCAAGAGATGCCACCCAGCACCTGAGCCATGCATTCCCCATGCAGGGTGAATTGCAGCCACACTAGAGCTGTCTGCTGCTCTGAGCCTCTCCAAAAGTCAGAGCAGGTGGGGAGAGTATGAAGCATTGAACTAAGGGCAAATCCCCCATCACGGGACAATGGATGGACAACGTCCCTTACAAGTCAGATGGATGGGGATGGACCTTTCCAGAGAGGTCACCCCATGGCAGACCCTCTCAGCCTTGGATCTTCTCCCACCCAGCTTCCTGGATGGCCCAATAGCTCACTGATACCCAAGCATCACCCTGGTTGGCTTTTCAGGGAACAGCATCCTCTGACCAGCACACATTTTAACACCCACTCCTCCTGGAGGCACAGTGGGACTGATTAAGCATTTGTCCTGCAGAAAGCAGAGCAGACCTGCCCTAATCTTATACCATCTCCCCAGGAATGGACCCAGCCAGCAGTTGGCAAGCAGAGAGAGCAAACTGGGAAGTACTCACTGCTGCACCCAGCCTGATTTTATCTGACCTTGGAAGAAGGTCAGCCTGTGCTGCCCCTGCACAGAGCTGTGAAAGGCAAATCCACAGTGTTCAGCAAATCTCTTTGTCTAACAGGCTCATTTCTTCTCAAGAATTCATTTTGGAGGGATTCGATGGCATTGACAGAGGTGGCACTAGTAATTTCACTGCTCATATTCAGGATGTAGCACTTCATCCTTCGCCCTACAAGTGGGTTAGCTTGTGAATTGCTCTGTGCTTCGAGTTGCAGAGCCTGAATTATTTTGGCTGCGGGACATGGGCTGCTCACCAGAGCTTAGCTTTGAGATTGCATCGGGGCTCACCAGCAGCATGGGGAGCTCATAACTCCAGCACCCGTTTCAAGTGCTGGTGGCTGCAAATGACAAAATCCTCAGAAAGCTTCATGTGGGTGCAGGAGCTCCTGACATAAGCTCTGAGGGAAGCTGAGGCCTCTTCCAACGCAGCACAGCAGATGCACAGTATGTCCCTGTTAAAAAAGAAGGGGAAGGAGACAAGACGCTGCTGCTCATTTTCACTGACACAACTTGCTGCTGGGTGCACGTCCCCATGCAGGGCCACGTGAGCATGCTTCAAGCACACATTCCTCACACATGGGTCTCACAGGGCTTGGGCAGGCTCATGCCCACAGCACGGAACAAAGACCTGGGGTCTGATTTTGGCTACTTCAGGCTGGGTGGCTCTCAGCAGTCTGCTAGGAGTGGCTGGAGCTGAGTGCAAAGCTAGGCAGGCTCCTGGGGATATGAAGGCCCTCAGCTGTGCGCATACTGGAGGTCAGCAACACTCTTTGGACCCCCCTCAACATGCTGTGCCAGGGGAACCAGGTCTTCTCCAGCAGCCTCTGGGCAGAAAGCAGGAGAGCAGCGGGGCAGCATCAGTCCACGTCCACCTGTCCCTTTTGTGCTTGCTGTGCTCTTACTGCTTCCAATCCCTTTCTATCTACATTGGAACCTTGCAGTCTCTCAGTACACTTCTGCCCAGCCCTCTCTCTTCAGCCAGGTTCCAGTAGGACTGGTACAGCATGACTGCTGCATTCACCGTCTGCTCTGCAGCTCCTGCATTGCTTTCCCACCCGCTGTCCTAATCTGCTACACAGCTCATGACCTGGAGGGCCAGTCACGAGAATCCCTTTGGGATCCCATTTATTTCTGCAGCAAGACTTAAGCCACGAGTTAACTACTTGCTGCAAACTCCAGTAGGCCAAGGACTTGGATAGCAGCAGGATAGAGAGCATAGTGCAGCCCCTGGAGGGCAGCTGCTCCAGCCAGCGCATCACAGAAAGCTGAGCCCTCACAGCTCTGCAGCTCATCCTTGGAGGGCTGCTGACAAGCAGAGCACACAATTACAGGAGCAGAAGAGGGAGCTGGGGGCTCCTGAAACACTGGCTGGTGGTTGTGCTATAAGGAGCTGACAGCACACCTCTCTTCTATAGCCATTGATATTGTATAAATAGGAAACGGACTCCTTCAGCCCTGCAGACTGAGGTCTCAGCTCCATGCCTGTGCATCACCCCAGCCTGAGAACACCTCAGTCCCTGGTGATGGGATCAGAGCTAGTGGCAGAAGCCATAGCAACAAGCTGCCAAGAACCCTGGGGTCACCACTTCTTCACCATGACATGCACAGAGAGTCTTGCTCCGGTGTTTTGGAAGGATGGTGTGAGGGACACATCAGCAGTGGGCAAACTGGGTCCCAGCAGGACAGCTTTGGATGTACCACCAGAGGCACTGCAAGGGAGTGCTTCGCTCTCAGCTCAGTGGGAAGCAGAAGGAAATAGCAGATTTGCACAGGGTGGGTTTAACACAGAAAAAACATGTGGTCCTTGAAAATAGCTCGTGAGCAGGCCAGTGCTGGTCTTCATATCCCAGGCAGCAATAAGCTGCAGCCTCTCCAGGTTTGTTTCAGGGTGACGGAGCTGGAGGAGGTGGCTTTGACAGAGATCAAGTTAACAAAACCACACTGACCATTACGTCATCAGCTGCTCCTTGTGCTGTAAGCTGTGCCCCTCATGCCATGGCTGTGTCCTCCAGCTGCCACAAAGAGTGGGCTTGGCTGAGAGGCTGCACGCTGGTGCTTCCAACTCCTTGTGCCATGCAGAGATGTGGCAGGAGCTTGCTGGAAAGGCTGCTCTCCAGACTCACCCTGCTCCTCTGGTGACAACTTGCAGTCATAAAAACTGCCTAAAAATAGCAAAGTACAACATCTGCAGTGTAGCACTTCCTCCTCTCCCCCTTCTCCCAGCTTTGTCACCTCTGATGTCCCACCAGCTCTTTCCTTTCCCAGTCTGCATGGGACTGGGCAACACAAATACGTCCCCAAGTCTCTGCTGGGCCCCTCGTTTCCCACCATGGTTCTCAAGGTCTCCAGGATCCAGCCCCACAATTACCCAGCCTGCATCCTTCTTGGGACTGAGGAAAGCACGGGGGCCCCTTCCTGCCCTACAGCACAATTCCTCTGGGTCTGCAACTCACAATAGCAGCGACCACAATCTCCTAACTGGTACACTGAGTGCTTTCTGCTCGAGGCTATTGCTCTCCAGGTGTTTCACTCCCGTTGAGTTGTCTTTGGGGTTATTTTCCCACAACAGAGGATATGCATTCACCGGGGGCTGGTTTAAATCGCGCTTCCTACCCACAGCTCTGGTCCTTCCGCATTCCTTTGTGTTTCACTTCTCACCAGAGTTTGCATCTCCTCCCAGTTTGAAGTTATCTGCAAATGTAATTAGTGTGCTGCTAGCTCGCCTCCTTTACATCATTAATGCTCCACCAGGGTGGATTTAATCCCTCTCTCCCCTCTCCCCACGACTCCTGACTATCAAGAGGCATCAAACCAATGGAGATGCTCAGGTCAGCCCAGAAAGTGAGGCTTGGCAGTGATTTATTTCCATTCGTCCTATTTCAGGCATGGTGCTGGGATGCCTGTGGTTGCCAGGCTGCAGCATCCACACCTCATTCCCTGCATCTCCACATCATCCTGAGCCCAAGTGGCTGTCACTGCTGAGAGGTGTCCTTAGCTCTGAGCATCCATTTCCAATGGGATTGGAGGGGATGGAGGGGTTGGGGGGGAG